TTCGGGATACTCGGTGTCTAGTTTTAATAGGGGTTTAGGGTTTAGGGTTGAAGATTTTCCCGCGTTGCTGTCGGACATTATAGGGTCTTCGTAGGGCTTTAGAGCTTCATAGAAACTTTCTCGGGGTTTTCAAGCGTCTTTTTATTATGGGGTAGGGTTTGTAGAGCGGTTGCATCAAAGAGGAACATTTTGAGGGCCTCCAGGTCTTTAAACTTTGAGGCCTTGACTATTTGGGCTTGGGTTCAGGCTTCAGGGTTTATGTCACAAGGCACCCCAGATTCCTAGTCTAATTATGAAGGCCCCTACATGGAAACTTTGCAGACCAGCTCCAAACTGTGCCCTGAATCCTAAACTCAGCCCCCTTTTCATCCCCAACCCCTGAAGTCAACTCCGGAGACAGAAATGCCTGAAAATTGTCACCCAAGCCCTAAACCCTCAAATCATTGCATCTCCAGACCCTAAACCCTAAAAATAACCGCATTCCTAAACTCTGCAGCCATGCAAATGGAAGCTGAGCTCCGAACATGTCTGGCTCGTCTAGGCAGCGGAATCTGGGAGAACCATAACCATCGAACCCTACAGTACTATGAGAGTACCGTTGAAGTAATGCTATAAGCCTAGTGTAATATCCATATAATATCCTCGTTGTACTTACTTTACGGCAACATCTCTCCGAGACATATCCCATTGCCTGTCGTGAGCTACGGGTCAGCGAGACTACATGAGTATAGTCTCATGCGCTACTGCATGTTGCTACAACTTTCACAAAGCAGCCCTAAAGCCTATTCCCCCAAACCCGTACTGTTCAGACGGCCATAGAGCCCTGGAGGATCTGGGCTTAGGTCCACGCGAATGAACCTCAGGACTACCAGTTGAAGATTTCCGGCCATTGGGATAGTGAGAACGGACAGTTAACCAGATCTCCCTAAACCCTAAACCGCAGTGCCCAGCTTGATTGGAAATGGCGACCAGAGAGGCAGTTAATCGGCAGCTATACGTGGAGGTCTGTGAGTAGGCACTGTTACGGTGACCTTCCTTATAAATGAAGTTCGGAGATCCGCTGATCTGTTGAGCAGAAAGCATGTCCGAGTTCGAAGAGAAAGCAACCAGAAGCTTCTTGCTCTTGTTAGCATGTGGCGCTGGGAGTTCCAAAAGTCAGGGAAAGTTCCTGTTCTTGACGGTCGAATTTACAGCTCCCCTATTTGTTGAAACACGGCCATGAACTTTGTGCGCACTACAATCGACATGCGGAACTCAGAATGTACTATGTGTACTGTCGCTGGCTTTAGAACTCTAAAGCCCACCTATCTGTCAGAAGCTGATCTCAAACTTCGTCGTTTCAGAACATGTCGCCTGGAAGCCCCCCCGAGAGTCTTGCCGTCTACACATCCCTAATCCAGACATGCGCCTCACGCACGAACAAACGCACAGCAGAAGGTCGCCGTGGTGGTAGGTAGTCGCAGTAGTTGCCGGTTTTGAGTGCTACCTGTGCGCCAACGTCCTCACGACTGTACAAACTCCGAGACTCCTAGAGGAAGAAGTTCAGATGTACCTGCGGATGGGGACCCCAAAATCGATCAACCACTTAACTTCTGGTGAAGGAATCATCCTGAACATCAGCCACCAATTCCGTGCTCCGAAGCCAGCATCACCAGGTGTACCTCACATGCGAGTCTGCGCACCGAGAGTATGATGACTTGACAGGGAAGCGGAGTGATTTGCGATATCGAGACAGGTGTGAAAGTCCTAATGCTGGTGCTGCAGGCATACAGCACGTTGTTACTTGGGGGATCACGCAAAGGTTCTGAGCAAAATCGAAACCTGTACATATCTCTCTATATACAGACACGCATGTACCGGCTGTTTATTCACAACGGCATGCGCACACATGCACAGGTATATAATGGAGATATAGATCTAGGTCTAGAGTCTAGATCTAGACCGATCTTATGTATAGGTTATGTATATGCACACATATATACATAAATACACAAATACATACATACATGCATGCATGCATGCATGCATGCATACATACATACATAAATACATACATACACACATACACACATACACACATACGCACACACACACATACATACATACACACACACACATACACATACACATACACACACATACACACGTACACACATACACACGTACACACATACATGCATGCATGCAGACAGACAGACAGACAGACGTACATACGTACCTACCTACCTACCTACCTACCTACCTACCTACGTACACACACACACCCATACACATACACGCTTGTGATTGTTACAGTATTACACAATGTAGAATTTCTCATTAGTATACAAAACATGACAGCAGCTCTGAGTGTGAAGGATCCGCCATGCAGATGTCCTTGCACAGTCTTTTTTCGATCTGGAGGCCCCAAGGCGTCCCTGAAGGAGAAGGAAAAACCTTGGGACAAGCCGCCGATCGCCAGGAGAGTTTGATCTATCTCATGGTCTCTTTAGGGTGCTTTCGTTTGTTTGGTTTCGTGTGTCTGTGTTTCTGTGGGAGTCCAGATAGAGTCCAGGGCTTTGAAGAGTTTCGGGATCAACTGACTTAGAACGAACACAGTATAGTTCAAGGAACCTACCTGAACACACTCCCCACAAACTCATCTCCTAAAGAGATGAACACCAGCTAAGGATAGCTTGGCCATCCCAGGGCTGTCGGAATAACGCGCCTTTCTTGTGACTGTGCAGTATTGGGCAGAGGCAATGCTCCAGACGCAAGAGCACACATGTCTCTTGATAAGGCAAGCCCAGTCCCAGAAGTGCCCAGCAGGGCCCCTGTGAGTAGCGGGGCCCTGCTGGGTAATTTCTGCGGCTTGGGGGATGGGGCATTAAATCATTAACAGGGTCTGCGAGCTCTTGTCGAGCACGGCAGACAATGGCTCCAGGATTGCGGCTCATCATTCGAAGAGTTCTGCGCTAGGGCTCAAACGGCTGTAACTCAGGCTCACCCCGGGATTCTTCTGCAAATCTCGGCTTTGCGCTACTGTCATGGGCAATCCGTAGCTGTCGGTCCAACAGTCAGCAACAGGTACTGCTTCGATTCAACTGGGTAGTCCGGTGGGGGCCGGGTTTAAATTGGGATAAACTGACACCGCAGTGCCAGCAACATTAATTATTAATTATTCTCACCATAGCGAAACCTGGCAAACAAAATGAAAAGCATACTTCACATACATACTTATATACAGACAGATGAACAAGCCCGAGCGTTCCTACCCAAAGTCCGACGTAGTGCCTGCGCTTGCCAGTAGCTCGAGGCTACAGCTAGCTCATTATCATTGGCTCGTCGCCAGGACCTGTACCAGAAATGGGCAACAGCATATCGGTTCAGTGTTGAGGGCGTGTCGGGCTGAATTCAAACCATGCCTGGGCAACAGCACGATGCAAACTCAGCCTACTTGCCAAGTTTGCCAGGGTGACTGAACTGGTTCATTATAATGCCACAGAGGGTTTAGGTTTACTTGCTCCCCTGCTGCTTCAGTGTGCACCTAAGCCGCTAATTAGCCCGCATATCCTAAAGCTTAAGACCCTAAACACGCTAAGACTATCATCTGTATTCCAGGCGCGACCCCTAAAAGGGCGAGCTTGCTGGCTTCAGAGGCTCAGGGTCTCAAAATCGGAGTCGGTAGGGTTTTGGGGCTCGTGGTCTTGGGTTTAGGGTTTAGGGGTTTAGGGTTTAGAGGATTGAAAGACGTGCAGGGTGAAAGGTCAGATCCTCGATCGTGCGATCTATCCTCAAACCTTTCCGTGGTACTGCGTCTCAGGTGAAGAAAGCTTCACATTGCTGCAAAACCTGCAGAATCCTAGACTGACCTCAGTACCCTACATCATGAATTTCCAGTCTTAGACCTCTGCTCGAAACAAAAACACACATGAAGTCTGAAGCCCAAATTCGGAAGCGACAGAGACCTGGATAGCTGGCATTCCAGAAACATACACAGTTAGGAAATGAGCTCACCAGCCAGCAAAAGAGTTTCTATGGTGGCGTCTATGGTGGGCACGAAGATAACAGAGTGCCACTCTTGTTACTATTATTATTACTATTATCATTATTATCACTATTATCATTATTATTGTTGTTATTAACCCCTCAGAAGCTCCAAAGACTCTCACCACAGGAAATCCCACGTCCCTTCCGGATGAGAGATCGACACGGTCACACATCAACGGTGCAGCAGGTTAGGGTTCGGTGAGATTGACCAAGTGTGCTGAGTTCGAAGGCATCGTTGCAGAGAGAACTGCCTCGGCGCCTAAACCCTAAAACCCTAGACCCTGAACCAGATCCTGCTGCGATAGATTTTGATCGGACCTCGGAGCCCAAAAAAGTCTTCGGTCTGTAACGAGGCATGGCTCAAGCGAATGCGAAGCCTTGGCCTCAAAAACGACCTTGCGGCCTTGAACATAAACGTCCCTAGAAAGTTGGAACATCCTTATCCTGGTATCCTTAAGGTGGAACATAAGGGATCCTAGCACTAATCATCCTAAACCCATGTTCCAACTTTCTGGGGTTCGCTGTACTTCTGCGGGACTCGGAGAAAATTCGGGCTGCTGCGATGTTCGCTTTGGCCCCATCATCATTTCGTGATTTGGATCAACAGAGCCTGAACATGCCTGGCACTCATACGTTCGATCACCCTTCACTCAGTCCTCGTAGACTTGCCACATTGTTTGCTTGATGAGCTTCTCAAGTCGATGAGCTTGCTTGGGGTCATGTACCGCTTCGAGAAGATTCGGCAGAGACAACCATCCGTAGGCCCCGGTAGACTTCGCGCCGTGCGAAACTGCAGCCAGACCGGTCATGCGCAAGGCCTGCACATGGCTTGCGATCAACTCCTCCACTTTGTGTCGCAAGAAGCCCGACGACACCATGATCTCTGCACATCCATTCTGAGCGCGTGCCCAGGAAGATGCGCGGCGAAGGATCGTTGCTGTTTGTGCGACGACACACATGCGCAAGTCATGGCCCCTGTTTTGCTTGCTGATCTCCTCCATGATGGGCTTGGCTTCTCGCCAATCTGCGACGAGCAGTATGCTCCCCTTCATGCCCTCCAGCCATCTGAGAAAGCTCATGCATTTCTTGTAACACACCAACTTGCATCCGAACTTGGTCGCAAGAGCCGCCAACTCCTTGCGGACTACGGCCTGCTCGGGCTTCAAGCAATGCTCGAAACACCAAACGAGCCACGTAACTTCCTCCGCATTGCATGCAGCCTTGCGAGCCATCAGAGCCGCTGTCTTGGACAGGCGAAATTGCTGGACTCACGTCTAGCGCGCTCGCGAGCCACTGTTCGCGGGTCAGCAAAGAGTTACGATGCTGGTTTTGTGGTGGGCACGAAAGTAACAAAGCGCATTGCATCCCCCCCCCCCCGCCCCCGAAGCTCCAACGACTCTCACACAACAACACGCCATATCGTGGGCCCATAGTATACGCAGGATGAGAAATCGGCATGGTCGCACATCAACGCCTCGTGGACCCAACATAAATCCCTTAACATGGGACTGTCTCCACCCCAAGGCTCCAAACCTCCAGGAGCCTGTCGGGGAGTTTACTGCAAGCTGTAGGGCCTAGGTTTTCGGGCATTTTGGGCAGATTGTCGGGACCTGTCACCAGGCCGATCGCTCCGGGGTGGTGGGTGAACCAGCCTGCAGCACTGGGGCAATGAGCCCCTGCTTGTTGAACAGTTTGGCTACCCTTTGACGGTTCTTATGGTGAAGACCTCACAAGAAGAACGAGACTGACCACTCTATTAACCCCTACAAAAACCATGTGACAAGTCGTAGGGCCCCTATGTTACAATCGGTCCATGGCTTGGTGGTACAAGCACTGCTCACACAGGAACCTCAATGAATAGAGTATGGGTCTCGAAGGGATCTACGAAGGGATCTCTACTAAAGGTTCTGCAATACAGGGGCCGTAATATGTAGAAGAGGGCTTTGGGCTATTCTGTGATGTGAATGGAAGAAACAGGGACTTTCCGACGAATTACTTAGACACCTAATTCGCACGGTAAGACTTTGCATGATCGGCCACCCGGCACCTCTAACAAAGCCCCAGGTAGGGTTCGCGTTGCTACTTGGGAATCACAGCCCTGAATAAACTGTCAAAACACCCCACGACCGAAAACTACTGTCTGCTTCCTACAGTGACTTTCAGCGTTCTGGGCTCGGGTCTTAAAATGGTTGAAACCACCATCAGCTGGGGATGCTCCGAAGAGCTCCACATAGTGGCTGACATCAACTCCTCCTAGCATGCCTCTCCGAGCAGCCCGAACAGCCGTTAAACACCATATGCCAACAATAACAACCAAAAGGTCAATGTGAAAGCCAGCGGACACCAAAGCCGCAAGTGCAGATGGTGAGCCCTCGTATAGGTTCTGAAATGCAAGTGACTACGGATCCAGATTCTGGGAATGGGGGCAAAGAGGAAGTAATGAGACAAATATATCGTGACTTTTCTATTGATCTCCCACCGAAGAAGCCAACCTCACCCTCGGTTCCAGTGTACAGCTTGACAAGAATTCATGCGACTAGTTGCGTCATGACAAGTATGATGGAGCATTCGAGGGCAGATATCTTGCGATGCCGAACTCCGTCAAGCACGAACGGGACGCTACAATGCTAAGCAGTATGACATTACGTAGGAGGTCATGCAGATCGCTTGTATCCGTGGCACTTAATAAACGCGACTGGCTGTACGAACCACGCCATGCCATGTCAAGAATGTCATATCAAGAGTTCAACCACGCGGGGCACCTCCAGATCTAGTTGCGGCGTGACCTGCCAGGACATAAGGACAAGGCACTGTCTACGCACAGAAAAGGGAAGTCTTTAGTGTCCTAGTTGCTTGCTAGCAGTACTAGACTGTGTCTTTGTTTTTGTCACTAGCATTGCTCCAATTTCTGTATACCATCGCTTCCAAGCTTACAGCTTTAATTCCAACTCTCTACTTAGTTGTGAGAAGCCGCTAGCACTATAAATTAATTCATATGTTTTCCGTTGGCTTTTATTTTTTGTTTTGTTGCGACATAAAGTTTCGGCTTTCACAAACGAGAGTCTTAGCATATCTGGCAGGGACAATCACCCGAAGCACTTGCCCGAAGCACCTTCCCATGTGTCCCCATCTCCGAATCCACAGCGAATGCTCTCGTCTACCAATTGCCAATGCAAGCTACGCCCTCAATCTTGTAAGCTTCAGCACACACACACACCAATGCAAAGCCGAAGCTGGAGTCTTCAAGCTGCAAAAAAACACCCCTTTTTATGGTACTTAGCATCTTGCACAATAAAGTGTGGAGGTCAGGACCTGGACTAATGACTAATGCAACTTGCGGTATTTAGCACTCCCAGGTCCTGGTTGCGACTTGTATCCACACAGTGGCTTCGGGGCTTAGGGGCTTCGGGGCTTAGGGTTTGTGGCAACAGCTTTTTGCTTGGCTCTTTCTGCGAACTTTCTACATATTTCTCCGGGTGTGCAAAATGAACTGGTCTCCAACCTTAGCTTTGGCAAGAGCTGATTGGTACAACCTGGAATAGAATGCGTGTGAGAAGAGCGGGGAAGCACACCCTCAACCCTGATAAACTCATGGTCACACAACGAATGTCGTCTGGGTGTGGCCGGCTTCCGCCACGCCTCAGGCCGGGCACACTCTACATTTTGAACCTCAATGTATACAAAACCCTAAACCCTAAACCCGAAACCCTACATTCTGAACCCCAACTCGCCGGGTGTGCCGGGGATCCAGCTGGTGAATCTGCCGAAGCCTCTTAGGGTTTTTACGCGCAAAAAAAGGCTTCGTCGTGTCATGAATTTAGACCCTGCTTAGGATTGTATGGTTTAAGATGAAAAAGCTCTTCAAGCTGGATGTAGGATAGACTCTTAGGTTTAGGGTTCTGTGGTCTCTGGAGTTTGGAGTTCATAGGTTGGGGATGTTTCGGCGCAGGGTCCTCTAGGATGGCTGTTGCCCCCGGAGTTGGGGTGCCATGAGGGCTTCTGGCTTCGGGGTTTAAGTTGCTAAGTTTCGACGTTCGCTGTGCCATGGGGAGGGCAGGCTTAGGATCATGTCTTTTGCACCTTCGATCGGAGGATCGCAACCCGAAACCTCAAGTCGGAATCTTAAGCCCTCCATCCTAAACACGACCCGCATAAATTACACAACTCAGAGCTCAAAGGCCACAGCTTTGGACCAGTAGATTTTGGGTGTATAATGGTCTAGATCCCTAGGTGCAGGGTCTTGTCGGTGTCGGGTTTAGACTTCAAGCTTACAGTGAACCACTATGCAGGGATACTGTACTACGATACCCCCCCAAAACCCCAGAGAACCGGACCCCAAAGACCCCTAAACCTGCCTGCGCCCAAAACCCCGAAGTCCTAAAGTCCTAAACCCTTTGAGAGCAGTTGAGCCCTAGACCCTAAAGACCAACTTCCCCTGACCTATCATGCCCCAAATCCCGAAACCTCAAATCCCTAAAGCACGACATCCCTAAACCCTAAAGCCCAAAAGTCAAAACCCCGCAACCCTAAAGCGGCAAAGCCCCACACCCATTAGGGATGTGAGGCTTATAAGCCTCTGTGCCCGGGCCTCCCCCCGGTGTTGTTTCCGCAAGAATCGAGCCGTCCAGCGGTAAGCTCGCTCGAGTTGGTAGTCCTCAGCCAGGGCCAACATGGACGCGGAAATATAGGGGGCCTTATGTCAAGTAGAATAGGAGTAGGCTTGGGGGTGTCTGTGTATGATAGCATAATTACAACCAAACCTTTTAAGGAACCATATAGATAATCCTTCAGGATTCAACAAAAGTCTTTTGTTTGTTTGAACTTACATTCGTAGTTGTATGTAGAAGCGCACTCTGTCGTTATCCGCCCAAGATACCCACGAAGTATCCCACCCAACGATCGCGCAGAAAGGGCAGTGTGAGAGCATTTGCATTGTGCTCGTTACCCGTTATGCTTCATCGATTCACTAAACCTTCTAAACCCTAAACCCTCTAAACCCCAAACCCTAAACCCTCTAAACCCTAAACCCTCTAAACCCTAAACCCTCTAAACCCTAAACCCTCTAAACCCGAAGCCCTAAACCCAAAATGGTTCTTGGAAGTGCAAGATGAGCGGCTGCCTAAACTCCAAGCCCCACAGCTTCGTGGATTGACGGGTGTTGGCTGCAGGCGTAATGTAGGGGCCTTAATAATTAGAAGAGGGTTCTGGGGTATATGGTACCATAACTATACCAAGGAACCCCCCTCCAAAATAATATAGGTACTATAACTACGTATACTAAGGAACCCCCTCCAAAATAGTATAGGTACTATAACTACGTATACTAAGGACCCCCCCCAAAAAAAAAATAGTGTAGGTACTTGTTTTGGCGTCTATATTAGTCCTTTGGAGGCCAGGGAGGCTTGGGAGGCAAGGCCCTGAAAGGCCCTGCGAGGCCGCAGTCGGACGGTGGGTTCAAAGCTTGGGAAATGCATGTATGTACAGATGTATGCATGTGCATATATGTATATATACATATACATATATACGTATGTACAGATGTATGTATGTATGCATGGATACATGCATCTGTGTATTTGCATGTATGAAGGTGTGTATGTATACCTGTGTGCGTTTGTACGTCGTGCCCCTGTGTACGTGCATATGTATGTATGTATGTATGTACGTATGTATGCATGTATGTAAGTATGAATGTATGCATGCATGCATGCATGCATGCATGCATGCATGGATGTATGTATGTATGTATGTATGTATGTATGCATGCGCGCGTGTGTGTGTGTGTGCGCGTGTGCGTGTGCGTGTGCAGGTGCATATGTGTGTGGGTCTGTAGTGCACATGAATACGTACATGCACATGTACTTATGCCAGCAACGGGATGGAGGACCGGCTTTGGAAACTGAAGCTTTGCCTTCTTCAATCCTGCAGCAAGATGCAGGCCGTGGTAAGACCCCTGGCCTTTGTGCAGAGTTTGGGATTTCGGGCCGTTGTAGGGCGACCTGGCCCTTGCAAGGTGGCTTTACAACCCCTCACTACCAGGTTCACTAGTCGTGAGCCACCAACCCTACCTATAACCAACATCGTCCAGTTTTAGGGCTCCCCACTCTTTGAAGACTGAGGGGAAGGGTGAGATCCAAACTCAGCTCCACAAATCAATGCCCAGCTTCGGTAGCTCCAGGCATGGCAAGCAAGAAGAATCTGTGCAACGTGAGGTCGATGCTGCTCTTTGCAA